GCGTCTGGGTGCGATATAATTTGCTTGTAAATGGCTCCATAAAATGTTTTATGTTTCTGCTTTCTCTATTACCGGGTCGGGCTGGCTGAAAGAGGGAAATGATGGGTAATGGTGATCTCAGATGGATTATATTATACATGAGTGATATGGTTTGCTGTTTGGCAATGTCTTCTAGTTTTAGTAGCTTTAGTTTGGCAAAAATTGAACTACTGTGAGCTAGCCTGGGCTGGTCATCAATAATTCTGATAATCTTTTTTTGAAGGGTGACTAGTTTAAGCATATGCGTTTTGGATGAGTAACCCCAAAGGAGACAGCAGTAGTTAAGGTATGGTAGGACCAAAGCGTTATATAAAAGAAGTCTATGCTTTCTGTTTAGAAAATGCCTGGAGCGACCAATTATACCAATATTCCGGCTTATGATGTTTGAAGTGCAATTGATGTGACTTTTCCATTTGAGGTCATTATCGATTAATACACCAAGGTATTTCACCGTTTGTGTTTCTTTAATTGTAATTCCATTCATTTGGATATTAATGGTGGCTTTATTTTTCTGATTGCTGTATATCTGGAAAGAAGTTTTATCCGTGTTCAGAGCTAATTTATTTGTATGGAGCCATTTGCAAATTTTGGGAACTTCCTCATTTAATGTAGACTGCAATTCAACATAGCTTTTTCCTTGAAATATCAATGTTGTGTCATCTGCATAAAGCAAAGGTTTGAATTTGGTGGAAATATTAGGGAAATCATTAATAAAAAGAACAAAAAGGAGTGGGCCAAGGATAGAGCCTTGGGGCACGCCCACTGCTATTCTTTGCAGGCCAGACATGGTATTGTTGAATTTGACACTTTGATATCTATTTGTTAAGAAGGAGCTAATAATTGAAAAGAGTTTGTCTGTGATGCCATATGCTTTGAGTTTACTGCATAAAATTGAGTGGTCTACTGTGTCAAAAGCCTTTTTTAAATCTAAAAATATGCCACAAGAAATCATGTTTTGCTCAAAGCCCTCAAGCACCATATTCTGCAGCAGAAGGATGGGCATGTAAGTTGAGTGTCCCGGTCTGAAACCAAACTGATCTGAACTAAGTATATTGTTTTTTTCTAGGTGTGCTACAACCCTGGTATAAATTACTTTTTCGAGTATTTTAGACATGTAGGGAAGAATACTAATGGGGCGGTAGTTATTCATATGCGTTCTATTACCTGATTTATAAATTGGATTAATCACTGCAATTTTTAGCAATGATGGAAATGTACCAGAGCTGAGACATAGGTTGTAGAAGTGAACAAGATCCTCTAGTATTGTTGAGTATGTCAATTTGAATAATTTAGCATTAATGCCATCATAACCAGATCCTACATTCTTCATACCTTTAATGATACTGATAAGTTCTTCTCTACTAATTGGTTGGACAACTCTCGTGTTATTTCTGCAGCTTTCAATAGTTGAATGCGAGTGATCACTGTCTCTTCCAAGTCCCTGTTGGATCTTCTTTCCAATGGAACTAAAGAAAGCATTGAAATTTTCAGCTATTTCAGATTCTTTTTCAATAACTGTGTTATTATGTTGGAAAGAAGAGGGGTAATTGTTTTTGGTTTCTTTGCCAACAGTATATTTCATCATAGTATCCCACATTTTTTTGCTTTCATATTTGTGTTTCTCAAGTTCCTCTTCTATGAACCTTTGCTTTGCTTTGCGGATCACATTATTCAATATGTTTCTGTATTTGTTGTATCTATTTTTGTTTTCAATTGTAAGTTCTTTTAATTTGGCCTTGAAGAGACTACATCTATGCTGTATCGAGCTCAATATAGCAGGAGTTATCCAGGGCTTAATGGAACTAGTTTTACGACTTGGTGTATACTGATGACTATACCTATCTATTCCTGATCGGTAAGCTTCAATTAGGGTTTCACAAGCCACTTCAGGATCTCTGACTGTATTAAAATTTAATAAGCGACTGACCAGGTGCTCTTTAAAATCTTGGATTTTGTGGTAGTCAAATGCCACAACAGATTCCCTGTTACCTATATTGTGAATGATCTTATCGGTTTTGATGATTCCAAAAATGGGGAAATGGTCACCTGTATCGTCAATAATAATACCACTTTTTTCAATAATAGAAAGGTTGTTTGTAAATATGTTGTCAATTAATGTTGCAGATAGATCGCTGGCTCTTGTTGGCTTGGATATTATTGGTAAAAAGCTAGAAGACGCAAAATTATTGAAAAATTCTAGAGGTGCCCCACCATGGCTGACATTCAGTAAGTCAGTGTTGAAGTCACCACATATGAATGTAGTTTGTTTCTCTATTTTTATCCCTTCCAGCATATCACTCAGCTCGTCAATAAAGGTATTATGGCTAAGGCTGGGAGGTTTGTAAACTTGGGAAATGATAAAGGAAAAATTGTTTTTAAATTCACACTCTAAAGTCAAGGACTCTGTGCAGGACATAGTTAAAGGCAGCAGTTGTACTTTTCGTATAACATCATTTTTTATGTAGATTGCAACACCTCCCCCTGCCCCTACTTTTCTACTATCAAAGAATCCTACATAACCATCTAGCAGTCTTCTTTGTTCATTTTCTTTGGATAACCAGGTTTCTGAGACACATATCAATGACCAATCACAGTTTGATTGGTGGAGAAATGTTTCAAATTCAGTAAACTTATCATCTGAAAATATTGACCTAGCATTGATGTGTATAATGCTGAGATGGTTACTTGTATTTTTCACACTTGTTTGAGCGGGACTGTGAGGGATGCTATAATATCTACAGTTTGTTCTGATATTTTCAAATAAATGATACGATTCATTGTTGTCAGATGGACCAATTTGCTGAAAAGGTGAAAATATGTTCTGATCTAGTGACAAAGGGTAGTTGGTGCTAGTTTTCAAGTTCATACAAAAACAACTTAGAAAAATGCACTTGACTACAGGGAATATCAGGAATTGACTGTCCTAATTGAGATTCACCTACTAAGTAAACCACACTGGGCCCTGTCCCACCTCTGGTCAAGGTCGGCCCAAAAGGCTGCACCGTTAACTCAGGCTTGTCCCAGGGCAGACAGTGCAGTCAACTGTTTTATTCGCTGTTTACTTTCTGGGGAGTCTAAAGAGAAGAGAAGAAGAATGTTTGTTTGAGTATATAAATTTGCCAAAATGTACAAGAATACAGAGCTAGTACACTTTCAAGCTCTTGATACAAAAACAGAACATCACCGCTATAGTGCACATAATTTTTAACTAATAGGTATGTATCGAAAATAAGAACTTAAGAAGGTTAGCTTGTTTGGATACATAAGGTTTGCGTGTGAGGATTAGGAAAATTCAGGAATTGGAGTGTAGTTAAGTTGCAAGCAGCTCGTTTACAAGTCCACGCAACATGCAGCTATTTCCATGCCATTATCATTTTCATTATAGGCATTATCCTTATCAATTAGCACAACCTGAGCACCCCAACCCTGAGGGACCACTCCCCACGCCACCGGCTGCCGGACGTTTGCAAAATATTGCTTGATTTCCGAGTAGAGAGATCCCAGATATATGGGACACTATGGCAGATGTATGTGTCTGTGAGTTTTGCACTGCATTATTTGTAGCCAGTAAGCCGACAGGTATTTTATGCCAGTTATACAGGGCAATGACTGCTTCAGTGCACTTTTGAGCATTTAGATCACACCCTAAGGGCACCCCCTCAAGGTTTGTGTAACACAATGTTGTTACTTGTTTAAATAATCTTGTTTTAGGAGCACCTCCAGTCTCCAGTGATAAGACTGTTAAAACTGCCTTTCTGCCAGGCATGTTACTTGCTCAGCAACACATTCATCCATCCATACTCACATTCATTCCACATGCATCCACGTAGCTCCAATCGCACAATGGCAGAGCTAGCCGATGCATGCCTGGAGGGCTCATTGATGTGTCAACGCATATGACTGTACACCCTGAGGGAGGCTCTGGTGCAGGGTGGATGACAGACGGTAGCTGTCCATGCTCAGCACAAGTAATGATGTATCACAGTTGTACTAATCTGTGGGTATAAGTGCTGGTGCATCTCATCAGGTCCATTATAGGGCCATCTGTACCAGTTTGTCAGGCTACATAGCCCTACAGCAGTGCATGTCCAGTCCACTCACAAATGCCAGTGTCAGGGCATTCAGTTATATCAAATAGGTAGCAGGTAGCAGCCGGGGAAGCAACGGAACGGTCCATCCAGATAGGTACCTCGGTTTGCTGAGTATTTTACTTGCTCTTATTTTTTGGACTGCCTTGTCTGGCGAGCTGAGGCAACCACATACTCTCCAAGGTTTGCTGTTCTGCGGGACACTGATCCAGGTGGGATGTTTTGCAGGGTCTGTGACTGCATGAGGCGTTGAGCCTGACGGAGGGGTGCATTGTGGGTGATGGCTTTGATCTCCTCTGGAGTGAACCATGGTTGGATGAGGCTGTAGCGCTTGTCTGTGTCATCTCTAGCCATGATGTTCCCGTTCTTTGCTCCTCACGTAAGGCAGCAGTCTCCTTACTCACTATCTCAGACACCAATTTTTCAATATCAGCACGCTCCATCATTAGACTCCCCAGAAAAAAGTGGAAAAGAAAACTAGAAACTAATGAAAAACAACTCCTCAAAAAACAACTTGACGTAGGGCGTAGGCTAAGTTACCTCACTAGTAGTATCTTAATCACAAATCTGACCCAGAGTAGCAACGAAACTGAAATATCTGGCCTAGGTGAAAAAGGAACAGAAATGAGAAAACAAAACAAAAATCCAATCAACTATTGCTAAACTAACTTGAATTACTAAGCAATACTCTTCCTAACTTCCCGCATCAAAATCGATCTACACGGCAAAAATGGCGCACGTCCTCTCAGCTCGGCTGATGGCACAATATATTGCTCATTGACTTTTATCACCGTGACATATTGCTGTACCCTCCACGACCACGTGCTTCTTGTCGAAGAGTTACACACATAATCAAAGTGACACAAAACGGTACAAATTACCATAAATGTATTCCAATAAGTTAACACACGGTCTAACGGAACCATTCCAGTACGGTGGCATGATTTCACACAGTAAGATCAAGACGTTGTTTTAGTGGTGGGCAGTGTTATAGGCCGGCGTAGAGTGGTGAGGAGCTGCCTTGTAGGCAGGGGCAGCGTGCTGCTCGGGGTAGGCGGCCTGTCCGTCGTAGGTGACCTCGGCGTTGTATCCACCATAGTGGTCAGCCGTGTACTTGACGTGCTGGGTACGGCCGTCGGGCAGAACCACCGAGTAGTAGCCCTGCACGTTGTGACCGTCGCTCTGCTCGTTGCGGGCGAAGTTGGTGCCGGTGTAGTGGTCGTTGACGGCGTATTCGAAGGCGAACGGCATGGCCTCCTCCTTGTACTGGGTCTGCGGGTGGTAGGGAGCCGGCTTGTAGGCCGGAGCAGGGTGGTACGGAGCCGGAGTCGGGTGGTACGGAGCCGGAGAATCGGCGGCGGCCACGGCCAGCACGGTGGCAAAGATGAACACCTGGAATGTCATCATAATTGGTAAGTCAGTTTTTCACCTGATCTGTTCAGTATTTATGGTAATTATCAATATTTTACAAAACAAATGATGTAGCTCATCGAAAAGCGGCATTGACTGCTCTAGTGTACCTATGTTTGGAAATTATAGCTGAAAATCAGCATTGTGGTTTGTAAATATGATTTTTTCCTCACCTTCATGTTGGTTGGTTGGTTGGTTGGAGGAGTGTGCAGAGCAACTGGTGCCGACTGCCACGTTCCGACACCTTTTATACGGCGAGCGGACACCCTCACGGTCTAGGTCACGGTCTAACCCGTCCAACAGAAACCACAGAGCATGCAGTGGTCAGTGGTTTACTGTTCGGCCCGCCTGAACGCACGGACCCTGTCCAGACGACCTTCAGAGGCCCGTGTAAAGTGACAGTTTGCGATAGGAGCAGGCGTTAGAGATCGCCGATAATCAACGACTTGTAAGCTACAGACGATAGAAGATAGTGAAACAGAAAATTGCGAAAACTCTTGATAATGAGAAATACAACGTGCCTATAATGGTCTAGGACACGATGTATGTAAATACTAACGGTCTAGGACACGATCTAATTGCTCCAACTTTTGTTCATGCCTACACTTCGTTGGCAGTGACAACACGCTGGCAAAATTCGCTTCTACAATCAAATCTACTCAACAATCTACTTCTACAATCAGAGGCCTGTTTCACTAACAAATAAAACTAGTAATTACAAAGAAAAAGCTTGAGTTTACAAGAAATAATTACCAACATTTGAGATTTGGATTTCACGAAACCTTTGAACATGAATTTTGAGTTTAAAATTTGCAAACTTTTTTACAAGAAAAAGTTTGCTATAGTTCGTTTTTTTTTTTCAAAAGGACGCTGGCTCCAAGCTCCTTATCGAAGCTCTCACGTGAGTTTTAGCAGCTTCAGCGTCTGGCCAAGAATTTCTTACCGAAAAAATATTCGATTTCAAATTGTACACGGTAAGTACCCGGACATTGTGTCTTGAAAAACTAGCATAATATGATGACGTCACTGGTGGCAGCAGGCACCCAATGTCCGTACGATGGGACAAAGTTTCGACGAATTTGGGGGAAACTTCGTTTTTCACTGTTGCTGAGGTTGTAATCGAGTAAGCGGTTTCGTCCATGATAGTTATACGTTACATTGCAATACAAGTTCGACAGCATGACGTCACCACTGTTCTCATGTCTGGTTACAAAACGCACGTATGGAAATTATCGGGAATACTTCACATGTTAAAATAAGGCGACGTTCGAGTTTCTCAGGTTCAGTTTTTGCTCGTTTTGCTCGCTAAAACGCGTGCTTTTTCGAAAAACATACTTGGAGCCAGAGTCCTTTTGAAAAAAAACAAACTATAGAAAACATGGGAATCGCAAACTTTCTGTTTCACGAAGACCAGAAACTTGAAAGAAAACATCGTAATTACAAACCTGAAATTCCAGTGGTCCTGACGTTCGGAATTTTGATACTTTTTGTGCAATAATGCAAAACAGTCATATATTTAGAACAAGTATGCTTTGTTGAGTCGTTTCATGCTCTATTTTTACTTAGCACACACCCTAAGAAGCAAAATAATCGGTATTAAAATATCGTCATGTTTTGTCATTCGCGCGCCATAATTGCATTCAACAGTCTTCTGGGCCCAGTTTCACCAAGTGCGGTAAACTCAATTTGGGGTAAAATACCAAACTACCCCACTCCATAACTACAAAAATACTACCCCGAAATTAGTTAAACTAACTTGGTGAGGTTGGGCACTTGGCCCAATCTCACCAAGTTATGTAAACTTAATTTTGGGACAGTATTTTTGTAGTTACGGAGTGGGGTAGTTTGGTATTTTACCCCAAATTGAGTTTACCGCACTTGGTGAGATTGGGCCCTGCTGTCAAATGTTTTGCATGCTATTTTCTTTCAATAATAGGATAATGTGAACTATCATTTATATCTTTTTCCAACAGCATCATTATTTATAATTTATTTAGGCAGCTTTTGACATGAATACTACACAAAATTTGATAAAAAGAAGCAATATCTTTAATATGCTATAGTTCTTGATTAAAAACAGTTTTACTGTTTACAAGTTTATTTGCAAACATTTTCTTATCGGAGGTGCCACTGGCGATGAAGCTTAGTGAAATCGGTTTTTACGTAGTTGGTAAAAATACTTATGAATTGTAAACTACAAGCACTTGTAATTACAAGTTTTTAGTGAAACAGGCCTCTGATCTTCTTACGGATGGATGCTACAAAGTTGGTGCATGGTAGGTAAATGGGGTGTAGCAACTAGCAGGCACTTATCGCAAATATGTCAAAATTACTTTCCTGACTAAAAAGTAAACAACTCTGGATGCATTGTTCATGGCGCCAAACCATATTCATATCAACGTATGTCGTGTACCTATTGGTAGGAGTGAAAAGGTAGGTTCTCTGTTCTACGTAATCTATGGACGTGATCTTTCTCTCAAAGTAAAATTAAAGAGAGCAGAATAGATAGGTATACCCATCTTAAAGGGACCGTCCCACCTTCAAAAAAGTTTATTAGGTACTTGGCATAAAAGTGATTCACCGTGGTTTAGAAAGAGGGCAAAATAATATATACCAACTTTTGCCTAAAATTTTCACCGGTTTTTGAGATATTTGACTTTCGCTTTTATTTATTTTTGTTTTGCTTATTTTTGGGGGCCTTCGCTGTTCCATTTGACGTCATTTGGGAGCAATAATTTGGTGTCTTAAAAGTGCCACAAATGTTGCGCGGAAGGCGGTATATGCTACCCACTGAACTCTATAATGTGGAAGGCGCATCGGCCGCCAGATGGTGTCCAACGGTGCCGCCATGTTGCGCAGACCAGGAAGCGGCCGCCGCCGCCTGTGTTGGGGAATAGGGAATTCGGGACCTCGATTTACGTTTTCGGCCGCTGCATCCGTTACGTTCAAGCTATGTAGACACGGAACCCGGCATCTTACACAGAATTGAGGGGAGAACAAGATGCAATCTTAAAAAATCCTCAGATACAGGGAACTTATACGTTAAACCCTTATAAGTCAACGGGGAAATATGGAAATTGCTATTTTGGCGCCGCAGGGCCTCGGCTAAGGAATTTTGACTGGTGGGCCACTTGGGCAGCGACATGGACTGACCTTCGTAGCCATAGCCCCCCCCCCCTCAATTTTCGATTTCTCCCCAGATTTCGGCCACTTTATTCTGCAAAAAACGTCAGGATGGCATTCAAAAAATGTAAAAAAAACGGGGCTCGACCCCCCCCCCCGACTCTTCACAGAGAGAGGAGAGAGTAGGGACCCACAACCCTCTCAGTGGTGATACTCCCGCGGTGCACATAAAATCGCACAAGCACGGAATATATAGTCTACGACATATCGTAGTACATATCGACATATCGACATGTCGTAGACTATATATTCCGTGGCACAAGTATGCACACAATATTGACGCAGATTATAAAACTTTGGACGATAACTTAAGGCCGTGAGTGGATCGCTCGCCGACTAGTCGGAGATTCGGAAGCGGTCGGACGGGATCGGGCGTTGTTGGGTGGATCGGGAGGAATTGTGAACAGCACGAGTGCAACTTTATACACTGAGAAAAAAGTTAACTCTGTACCACCTTTAATCCCCTGAAGGTACGACAAAAACTAGTAGAATATTCCGCATACTCGCCAATAAATTCTGCTTCTATTCCACAAGTATCCCTCCCTGAGATGTTGCAAGCTTTGCGCGAGATGTTTGGCAGAGTCATTTGCATACTCTTCTTAGATTCTGTTCAAAATACTCTGAAATATTCCCCTAGAGCTCTTACGAAACTCTGAATACGCTGGGAGATCAACTGTCAGAGTTTTCAAAGAAGTTTGAAGGAATTTTGGGAAGAATATGGTAGCCATTTTATTTCCGCTGTCGGCTGCCATCTTTCTTTCGAAGGGTGCAAGAAGCGGTCGGAGCCAAGGTCGGAACTTGAACTTGAACTGAGGAAGTTGAAGTGGTTTTGCGTTGTTCCTGGACAAGTAAGTTTGCTCGATTACTGTTTCTGTATGTTATCTATATTTTGAAGAAGTTAGTAACAGTTGGCATTGGTGTCTTTTGCCTATTTGCTCACAAATTTTGTTAAACTCTCGTGAGCATTTTGCCTTGTGGCTATCCTGCTTTTGTCTGATATTGCCAGACTGAAAAAATATTGCAGATTTTGATTATATCAGTATCAAAAATAAAACTAATGCAGTCTATATCTCTTTTAAGCAATTCAATGGAGGGCATGGTCACATGGTACAATGACAAGGTAAGGCAATTCCGTCATGCGGGGTGACTCCGATTTTCAGGGTGACTGATGCATACCAGTGCGGGTTACTCTGTGATGATAGTGAGTGGTGCTTCTCAAATGTGGTTCTAATCAATTTTAATTTGGACATTGATTTTAGATCAGTTGGTGAAACTGTGGTCATCTCTTCCATTTCAGTCAGGCGCACTGTGGTAATTCTGGTCCATTTATAGAAACGTTGCTATATTTGGAAACGTTTCCAAATATAGAAACGCTACGTTCCATAAATGGAAACGCTCAGAAGCACCGATCATTCCGGACGATTTATCTTAAAGCAAGATGCGTTATATAACTTTCTAGATGGTGGAATGCCATCTAGTGGCAACAAGGAAGCACTCAGGTGAAAATGACACGTCAATTTCGCCAAAACTTAAAACATCTATTTAGCCCAAATCAGCCAATATTCTGCCAAAAATCAGCCCAAATCAGGTTCTGGACGTCATATTTGAAGGGAAACCTCAATGGAAGTTTTTCTCTTATTCATTCTCTCAAATTATATAGACTGTTTCAGTCCATCCTCTTCACCATTTATACAGAAAACTTCGTCGTATTTCCAAGGCCAACATTGAATCACCGTAGGCCATTATTGAATTTATAGAACAGAATGCTGGCTTTCCATTGGTGGTAACCACTTTATGCGCTTTTTTGCAGGGGCTTGCGCTCGCTGTCAAACAGGTGAGCGTGCACCTACCGTTTCCAAATATAGAAACGTAGCGTTTCCATATTTGGAACAAGCGTTTCTATATATGGATCATCGTTTCCAAATATAGCAACGTTTCTATAAATGGACGGAATTACCACAGTGCGCCTGACTGATTTTTGAAAGCTTCTTGAGTGGTCCCTAAAAACAGTGTGAAGTGAACTTCGGCTCACTTCGGCTAGATAGGTACCTAGTGCACAGATATTGTAAACTATACGTCACAAAGCCACTACGTCACAATTTGTGACTTCACAGAAGATCAACGTTAGCGGCCGGCATTTCTAGTTGGAATATAATTAATGGAATAATAAATAAGAAGAATAATAAATAATGGAATTTAGGTACCTACATTTGGACCATCTGGGCACTTTCAATGCTGCCATGGGCGACTAACTGGCCGCATGACCAGGGTGATTGACGCGTAGCAAAACAGGTGATTTATTTGTAGTTTAGGTGATTTAATTCTTGATAAGTAACAAATGCTTTATCAATAAGGTAAGTTGCAATGGGCAAAATTGATTTAATATTGGCGAAGGTCTGGTTTTATTGGAAAATGTCATTTCCCTCCCTATTAACCCGCGAGTTGCTGG